TGTTCCTTCTATTTTACTTGAGTTCATAGCTTGGTCCTTTTTTCTAACTTAAACATCTTTCTGACCTTTGTTTTTTTCTTTCATTAGTCTCATTTTTGAGACAGGGTCTCACTATGTTGCTCAGGCTGACCTGAAACTCACTATGTAGGCCAAATTTGCCTTGAACTCCTGATCCTCCTGCCTCTGACTCTGAGTTCTGGGATTACAAGCAAGTACCACAATGTTCTAGTTTGCCTTTAATTGCTCTGACAAAACACTTTGATCAATACCAACTTGGGGAGGAAAGGGTTTATTTGGCTTACATCTCCAGAGTCACAGTTTATCACTGAGGGAGCCCAAGGTAGGCACTCAGGGCAGGAACCTGGAGGCAGGAGCTGAAGCACAGGCTATGGAGCAGGAGGAACAATGCTTAATGGCTTGCTCCCCAGGCTTGTGCTCAACCTGCTTTCTTATATGATACAGGACTACCTGCCCAGAGGTGGCACCACCGAAAGTGGGCTAGGGGCTGGGCCCTCCCACATCACTCAGCAATCAAGAAAATGCCTCAAAGACATGACCACAGGCTGGTCCAATGGAGGAAATTCCCCAGTTGAGGCTCCCTCTACCCAGGTGTGTCAAGTTACAACTAGCTATCCAGCACATGCAATGACTAGCTTTTTCCTTAGTTTCAAAGTTATGTTTCGTTCATCAGTTCCTTCATCTTTCTCCTTTTCTGATATATTTCAAGGCACTGTTTACCTACAATTACTTTTGCTATAACCTAAAGGTTTTAATATGAAGTATGCTTTAAAATTTTTATTTACTTTTTCCAATATCATATATATACATATATATGATCATATATAATGGGTTTGGGTCATATCCCCCCACTGTCTTCTCTTATCCTCCCTCTCCTACTGAACCCTTCTTTCTCCTTCCCAATAAGCTCTCCTCCCCCTTTCATGGTTTTTTAAAATATTTTATTATTTTTATTTTATGTGTATAAGTGTTATGCCTGCATGTATGTGAGTGCACCTGTGTTGTGCAATGCCAGCGGAGGACAGAGCGGCTGTCGGATCCCCTGGAACTGGAGTTACAGACCCACTGTATTTAATTAGAGTTGCTCACATGACCATGGGTGGGGGATTATTTACATTAGGAAGGACAGTTTATCAGTGTTTTACCGCTGAGGGATAGCACCCCTCCCCTTCCAGTAACTTTCAACTTCTTATTACTCCTCAGGGCAGGGCCTTATGAGTCCCTCCCTTATCCAGATTTTGTGCTTGTAGCCGGTGCTGCTGTGAGTTTGCTAGTGTGCTAGCTGGAAGTCTCCTCTCTGATGGCTAGCTTTCATAGTGCCGTGCCCAGAAGATAGCATTTCACAGCACTCCTCCCCACCCTCTGACTCTTACATTCTTTCCCATACTGTCTTCTGCAGTGTTCCCTGAGCCTTGGAGGAGGGGATATAGATGTCCTGTTTATGGACAACAGTTTCTTATTCTCTGCATTAATTGCAAACAAAAGCTTCTCTGACTATTGCTGAGAGTGGCACTCATCTATGGGTATAAACATAAACATTTAGAAGGCAGTTTGACCCTATGTCCTTTCAGCAAATAACAGTAGTGGTTCCCTGGCTAGTGCCTATGACTTCCCTAGCCATAGGCTGCCCATCAGGTTTATAGTACCAGACATGAATTCCTTCTATGGAATGAGCCTCAAAGCCAATCATAAAATAGTTGGTTACCGCCATAACAGTCATGCCATTATTTCACCAATGGGCACATTTTACCTGGTAAATTGGTATTGTAGAGCTCACAGGGTTTATAGCTGGGTAAAAGTGTTCATGAATTTTCTCTCACAGTAGCCTACATAGCACATTCCAGCAATATGAATGCTAGCCAGCAGTGAGGACACTTGCAGCTCATTTACAGCTTGATTTGTCTGTGTCCTGCAGCTAACCATTTTGTATCTTCAGCAAGAGAGCCTTATCATCTATTTCTACTCAGCAACCAAGAACAATGACAATGGCCTGTATTGTTTGAGGGGCCTCTAGGGCTCCCTGACCAGCAGCTCCCAAGGAGGTACCCCACACCTGGCGCTGGAATGCTCTGGGAGCAGCATTGCTAGGAGGTATCTTTAGCATTCTTCTCTAAGTAGTCTAAAGTTTAGTTATATTCTCCTCTTTGACGCATGAGTGTAAACTGAAGAATTGTTTCTTCGGTTGTGGAATATTCCGTCTGTCTCACTGACTAGTGCTTTCCTGCGCCATGTCTAATTGCTTCCCCTTCAGTTCCTGTATGTTTCTCAGAACTAATTTTGTCTTCCTTGTATTTCTTTAGTAATGGCTTTAATACTATTAAATGTATCTATTTATTAATTTACCTGATGTGCCTATTATCTGAACCTTTTGTGACAGCAGCTCTCCTGTTTGCTTTATCTGCCGCTTTCCTGTAGTGCACATTATTTTCTGAGTTTGTGTTTCTGACTGTGAGCTCATCTGCAATAGAGTGTTTCCCACTGTGGGTGTTTGATGTGTCCAAGGTGGGAAGTGATTTTGTGTGTGAGTCTCTGGGTCTTAATGTATCAGACCAGTTTGGCCTTTTAAAATTATTGTGTGAATTCAGACTTCTCATCTTCGTTTTGCAAAGTCTGTGGTTTTGATTTCCCATCCATATCTCTCCCCCTCATCTTCAGCCCCGAATAGATAGCAGGCCTTCTTGCTCCTCCCTGTGGGCTGATGGGAAGAGTTTGTCTAGTCCTTTTCATTGGATCAAGACACCCCTAGGGGTTCCTGGTTTTGTGCAGGGCATATAATAGCTTTTCCACATTCCACAGTGGTCCCGCTAGGATCCTGGCTAGTTTCAACTTGCCACAACCTAGAATCACCTGGGAATGGAGTCTCAACGGATGAAGAATCTAGATCAGGTTGGCCTGTTAGCATGTCTGTGGGGGGTTGTCTTAGACTGTTAACTGAGATGGGAAGACTCATGCTGAATGGGGTGGCACCATTTCATGGGCTGGGCCCTGAACTGGTTAAAAATGAAAAACTAGCTGAGTATAAGCAGTAGGTAAGCAGGCAGCAAGGACTCATATGTCTGTTCTCTGTCTGCTCCTGTGGGTGTGATGCTTTACGTTTCTGCCTTGACTTCCTCATAGTAATGGACTATATAGCCTGAAATTGTAAGGCAAATAAACCCTTTGCTTCCCTATGTTGATTTTGGTCATGGTATTTTATCATAGCAACAGAAATGAACTGAGGACAGGTCCGTCACGTGTGACAAGCCTATAGCTCCTGCTCACAGCTGTGCTGTGGGTAGCCTTTTATTTTAGATCATGAAAATTTATTTTCTATCTTCTAAACTCCAGTGTATAGTTTAAAGAATTTCCCTTCAAGTATATGTTTTCATAGGTGGAGGGAAACTTTCTACATCATACCAACCTGCCATATCACTGATCCTTAACTAGAAGTAGAGAGCATGGGAAGAACTCTGGGGCCCATCGACATAGGGACAGACGCAGGGAGAGAAATTCCGGCAGGAGATGAAAGGAGCCCACGAGAGGAGTAGAATAAGAAGAGCCACTTTAGAAAGGTCGGTCCACTTGACTTGAGGCCGGCTCTCCTTAATAACAGCGTGGCACTTATCTTTCATAAGCAAGAGGCTTTTAAAAAGGAAAATTTTAAAAAGGGAAACACAAAGAAAGTAGATGGGCTAAATTTACAAGGGGAACAGCCTCTGGTGTTTCCCTCCAAGGAAATTGATGCTCAGGAACAATTTGGAAACTTCTGGTTGCTCTTGTGCCATTCAGAGGGATTCTACCCTGTCTTCTCTCTACCAGCATCCAGCCGATGGGAAGGGAGGCATCATTTTATATGCTGGGGTTGGCTTCTGGTCCTCTCCGCTGTCTGTCTTTTCACATCTGGTTGTTTGGAGGCCATCTGCCATATATATGGTAGATAAAAGCAAATCACATACTTTTATCTTCCTCTCTGTCCTGGAATATTCTTAGCCATCATCTCTTTGAGTAGTGCCTTCCTACATCCTGACCTGAAAACCCACATACTCTGGTGTTCCTTTTCGGCTCTGGTGGGAAAACCCTAGGATTCCCGTTTGTTAAGAATCTCCATTCTGGCACTGTGGATCGCTCACTTGTAGAGAGGGTCTTGCAGCTTGGGCTATATCTGTGCACTGTATGGGGCAAAGAGACCTGTGTGCTTGTGTGTTTGTAGGCCTGCAACAAGAATGCTGGGTTTTACACTTCTTCCTCTGTTTTCAAACAATGGCCATCTCGTGTCATCTCACGCAAATCTCAGAAGTATTGATCTCAATAGTCCCACTTTACAGGTAAGCACACCTTGGTCTACAGAGGTGACAAGTTAAGAGTACCCAGGGCTGCTTGTTCAGGCATCTGGCCTCTGAGCCTGGAGTTTTTACCTCCACTTTATGCTGCCTATGTATGTTTGGACAGGATTACAGGGAGTCACCCATCATCTCCATACGGATGTCATAAGAAACCTACCTTTCACTCCAATCCCACTGTGGCCTGCCATATACCTTATGTTGCCCAGTTGGCTTAAAACTCCTGACTTTAAGTGATCCTCCAGCCTCAACCTCCAGTATAGCTATGACTGCAGGCATGTACCAGCATTCTGGGTTTCATGGAGCCCAGACACAGGCCAATGAATTGTTGATCTAGCACACAGAAGTTACAACATTGTGTTTTAAATCTTTTATCAGTAGGAGCAACATCATCTTTCTTGGCATTACATTTTATTGATTATAGACTTACAGTCCTTAAATATCTCGAATAGAATGTTTTCAATATACAGTTCTTTGATCATACATGTATTTTTTTAAAGCACAGAACTATAAATTAAAATGTACATATTGCCATAAATCTAGAACTATTTTATAAAAATAGAACCCAAACATTAACTTCATATATATTTTGGCAATTTAGCAGTATTGTAAGGTGGCCACACTTACTATGCATCACTGTTCCAAACGACTATCTCATTTTCCATCTCTTTAGGGACATATGGAACAGTCTTTTCCCAGGGTCCCCACATAGAAGCCCATGGCCATGGCTCAGTGTTGCCTTTGCATAAAGACAGAGTACATCCATCTGTCCTTAGAGGGGGAAGACCTGCTTCCAGTCCCTCCCTAAGGGAGTAGGTGCTCCCTCCAGTCAAGGGTCTGCCACTCATGGGTCTTGAAGCCCTCACAGTGTGTGGTTTGATAGCTAAATAAATACAGGGAATTCCTTTTCTGATAATCAGAGAATGGCAGGTATAAGCTTGGGTCTCGTATTACTGTAAATGGTTTGAAAGAAAATCACTCAAACAATGCCTGCTGGACGGTGCCATCCCCAAGGTCATGCAAAGGTCTTTTTATCCACACCCTAACCTTTATCTTAATCCTCACAGCCTTGTCCAGTTCCTTCCATTTTCAAATGAAGAAAACTGAATAGCTGGATGTGATTATCTGAACTCAAGGAAGGCTGCTGCAGGAGTGAAAAGAGAAATGTCTTTGAGGGTGCAGGTCACTGTATTTTAAATGAACTTGGGGTGTATGTGTGTGTGTGGGGAGAGAGAGAGAGAGAGAGAGAGAGAGAGAGAGAGAGAGAGAGAGAGAATGTTGGGTATTTCCAGGACTGCATGGCTCAGTGGAGGCATTCGAAATACCAGGATCAGATGTTCTGAGTCTGAAAATAAAGTATCTACTCCTCCCCAAAAGACAAGAGGTAATGACCCAGAGCTAGCCTGTGCCTTCACAACTTATTTGGACACATAACATGTAATGGGGTGACTCATTCTTTCACTAGGTGGAATCATCACTTGCACCTTCTGGGTACTGCTGGGAAGGAATATTAAGTTTCTGAAGACTCCAAAGAGGGGTCCTAGGTCACCCAGGCTGCTTCCAAACTAGGCTGATCTCATTTCCAGTTGCAAAGGCCAGAGGGTACCTTAATACATAACGAAGGATCCTTTCTCCTAACACACCAGCCTTGTGTGATACTTCTGCATCCAGCCTGTGGATTGGGCCCTAAAGACAGGGGAGCAACAGAAAGCTGGGGTGGCAGGTGGGGAGATGAGATTGAAGCAAGGGTTGGCTTGGCAGGTCTGGCCCCTGAAGAAGGTTGGGCTCTTTAACTAATACCTAGCAATGGGAGTCAAGATCTTTAGCTCTGGCTGAGCCTCTAGCTTTTTCCTTTGTTGACAGTGGCTTGCTCTCAGCAGGCTGCCAGGAGCTGCAGAGGTCTTTCATGTCAATAAGGCTTGCTCCCACAGCTTCTGCAAACTTGGCAGATGAGGTCTCCTTGCAGTTGTGAAAACTGGAGATGCAGAAGAGGATGGCCTCGGACTGGGGGTTGTAGCAGGCTCCATAGCCATTGGGGACCACAGGGCCATAGCAGCAAAACATCTCCATGGTTGTGGGCACCTGGAAGAGAGGACAGGTCAGAAATAATTTGTTTTGAAATGCAGCCTGGAATTTGCTAGAAGGTGGGGGATATTCTTGCATCTTGGGCCTCTGTTGGTATTTATTTCCCTGTCTATTTTTCACCCCTGGCTCCCAGAGGTTTGACCAAATTAACCAAATCAACTCATTGCTTTGGCATAAATGAATGGACAAGGCTAGAATCACAAAGCTGAGCTCATCAAGGTGTATGCTTTTGGGAGGGACCTCAGTCCACTCCCTAGTGTGCGTGCAGTTGGTTCTGCTTATGGAGCTGGAAGCCCCCAGGGTGACTTGCTTGCTGAGGCTTGGGCCAAGGCTTTCCCTCATCTGGGGGCCATTTGAGGCACTGTGGCAATCAGGCTAATTTACTAAATGGCACCCTGGTGGCACCCAACCATTTAGTTGGCTTCCCACAGGAAGTAATTTATGAACTGGAAGAAATCTGGCCCATCTTCTCTTGATTTCCCCCAGATCCTTAATTATTGTCGGTACTGCCTCACTGGTCTGATTTTCTCCCCATGGCCTATCCATGCTCAGTTACCCAGCACTGGTCATCTCCAGGGCTGCCATCCACCTGGAATTTTAGATATGCATCTATGATGTTTTGAATTTAGAGGGCTAAGGTTTTATAATCCAGAACACAAACCACAAAAGTATGTTTTGGAAAGTATTCAAGCCATAAATGCTACTTTCCAGTTGGAAAACAACCATCCAACAACCCACATCCCAAACACATCCCAAACTCATTTTATTAGCTGGTTCTAGGAAACAAATAGAAAGGATTATAAGGCTGGTGTGGTATGGGACAAGGTTTGTTTTAAACCCAGAGGTTTGGAACCCATAGGTTTCCGGTGCTGTGTTCTCAGGCCTTTTGAAGTCACACTGGCAGTTTTAATGGAGCACAACAAGCCATTAGTCTTGCTAATAGAGTCACCGAATTGTCAGATAAATTTGCCATGTGATAGCCGGAAGCCATAAAGCCATTCCAGAACACTTTTTGCCTATGGATGGTTTCCTGAAGAATTTATGTTGTTATATTCTGTTCTCATTTATTCATGTCTGCAAGCTCACCACTGTAATGACAAAATTAAATTACTGAGTGGGCTTTTATCTTCAAACACAGCTTTATCAGCCCCCTTTATTGCCCACATCCAGCCGTTTGCAGATAAGGTGAATTTCAGTAAGCTGATGGGGTTGGGTATTTCCTCCCTCACCTACAGCTCCCACTAATGGATATTATCTTGTTTGTGACCATGATCCTCTAAAATGGGTCTGTGTACAACATCATCTAGAAGTTGAGCTGGAAATTGATCTTCTACCATTGGTGACCTGGCCATTCATTATAATAATGTCCATGACCTGTTTGGGGAACCCCCAGTCAGGCCTGTCAGGCTTCAGAGCCTACAGTCCCCAGTGGTGGAACACCATCTCGGGAGGCATCAAATGGCAAGGTAGCACCACATGATAGTTCCAACCCTGGGGTGGGTGTGTTCCCGGCCAGTCCATTTTGAATAAGTGGGTCTGTGACCATTCCTACTTAGAAGATGGCAGATTATCAATGCCCTGGGCATTTAGATCTCTCTGCTGAAGGTGACATCTTTTAATGAGCAGAGCCTGGGGCTGGAGAGATGACTTGGGGCTAGAGAGATGGTTTAGCTGTTAAGAGCTCTAGCTGCTCTTCCAGAGGACCCAAGTTCAATTCCCAGCATCCATGTCAGACAGCTCACAACTGTCTGTAACTCCAGCTCCAGGGGATCTGACACCTTCCAACCTCCAACAGCACAGGCATACATGTGGCGCGTGCGCACGCACACACACACACACACACACACACACACACACACACACAAATAAAAATAAAACATTATTTTTTTAAAGAAGCAGAACCAGGTGGTAGGGTTGAGGATGGAGAGTAGTTAGTTGACTTCAGTGTTCTATGGCACAGTGGAAAAGCTGTCGTTGACAGTAAGCACTTGACTATTTCAAAGCAGCTGGCAGAAAGAATTTTGAATGTTCCCTAAATGACTGAGGTAACAGATCTGCCAGTTATGATGATCTGACCATTACCCATTATATACTGATATTTCAGCATACACTGTAGCCTATAAATGCATATAATTACTTTGTATCAGTAAACACAGACACAGATACAGACACAGATACAGACACAGATACACCACACACACACACACACACACACACACACACTTTTTTTTAAAAGAAGCAGAGACAAAGCCAGGACTCACTGACTTGGGCCATAGGCTCTTCAGAAGCTCCCTGATTACACTATGGGGACTCTTAGACATGCAGGGACTGTACCTGACTTGTAGAGAGGACAAATCGGTTGCTCATCAAGTATGTTTCATCCATGAACATCTCAGGTGTCTCTTTGCACAGATCCCGGGCCAGCTCACGCAGTGCCAGCAGATGGTTGTCAATGGCCATCCCTGTTATGGCCTGGGAGTCAGGAACAGAGAAGGCAGTGAGACCTGGTCTCCTCTACACCTCTTCTTCCCCTCCCCTCTCCTCCTGAGGACCAGTGGTAACTCCAGTAGTCACAGTGCTTGCTCATCCTGCTCTTGCAAGACAACGTATGTGAATGGTTGTTCTGGACCAACTGCTTTATCATGCAGCTTCTTCTCCCGGACTCCTGCACGTTGCAGTACACCCAAGATGTGTCCAGAGGAGGGTGGGATCTATCTTAAGGGTATCTGGATTAAAGGTCAGTGAGCCCAGTAGCCATTACAGATCTGTACCAATATGGTGCTCTAACAGATGTGTGAGCCTGACTATCCTAGTACCAACCTGCTCTGGCCAGGGAGAGAGTGTGGGAAGAAGACCAGCCTTATGTTGGGTCCAGGGATGACCAAGTCCTATCCCAGTGTATGTGTGGTTGGGTGGAGTGGGGTCAAAGCTGTCAGAGTTAGACTCTCACCATAATTAACTTTTCACCTTCCAGCAGGAAGCTGGGGCAGGGCTTGTCACCCAGTCTTGGCAATGTGTGGGCTCAGTTAAATTAGATTCATTGTCTCAGAAATCATTTTGCGAAAGAAACTAGACAGCTGAACAGAGGCTTCACTAATGTTTTGGAGGTGAAAGTGCTAGTTGAGTGATGTGGTTATTTTTCTTCTCTTTTTAGACACAAAGTTTGATGGTTACACGCCTATCAGTGGTTGGACTTGTAGAAGGAAAGCTCTAGATCTCATGTGGGAGGGACTCAGGGACTGGAGGTGGAGCTAGGGACTTCTACATCTTTCCCACTTGAGGCAGGGTGTATTGTTTGTGATTTCCTATTTATTTGGGGCAGTTGGGGAGGGGTTGGCGACCCAGGGGTCCATTCCTGACCTATGGCAATAACGTGGTTACCATCAGAGTAATTGTAACTCTTGGGGTCATTTAGCTGCTAGAGCCCCTCCTGGGAAGAAAACTCCCCTTTCCAGTGAACTTTGCTTGGGTTTCAAGCCACATATTGGCATCTGACAGCTGTTCTCTCAGCTGAGAACAAATGCATAAATGCAGAGGCTCCAGTCTTTCTGAAGGCACCTAATTACAGTCTGAAAAGACAAGTTACAAAACCTCAGCTAACTTTATTCCTAATTAATTTATTTATGTATGGTGGTGCTGGGGATGGAACTCAGGGTCCCATACATGCTAAACAAGAGCCGCACCACAGAGCTGTGCCCCAACTCCATACTTTGCTTTTGTTGTGCCCTATTGGGACAGAGAGGAACTATGAACCCACCTCTCTAGTGGACACTCTTCATTTCTCTGGTGACCTCTATTGAGCCCCTCATTTACGAAGGTCCACACAAGCAGATGGCTCTGTAGAGAAGCCGCCCACCCCTGCTCTCATCAACTAAACATAGCAGAAGGACTAAATGAACAGTTGTTTAGATGAGAGCTCTGAGTAGCAATAAGTACAAATACTCTTGACTCAGTCCTTCATCCAGGACCTTGACCAGCCTGATGCTGCCACCAAAGAAAGCAGAGGGGCAGAGGCATGTGGAGCTCATAGTGTAGTAGGATAGATAGTCACCACTAGGTGAACAACATGCAATTAATTATAAGCTGAAATAAAGGCTGAGGAGAAGTGTTGGGAGAAGAGAGTAGTGAGAGGGAGTGGACCACCTTGTCCTCCCACTGGGATTTCCTTTTCTTACTGTCTCTCAAATACACTCCCCGGCTGTGGGAAGTTGTCTTGTTTCCTGTCCCTTGCCCTCCATGGCTAACTGGGTACTAGACTCATCTACCAACCTCCTTCCTCTCTCTCCTCCCTACTGCCCACCTCGGTTCAGTTGCTCTCATCAAGCTGACATACATAAGACAACAGATCCCATGGTGATGCTTTAGAGGAAGGCTCTCTGAATTTCTCCATAAATTTAAACTTGTGATCAAAGTGTAGTGATAAGTAACCCTGTGTTTATAGTTTAGAATCCAGATAAGCCAAAGGCTCATGTCACTTTGGCACCATTAAGTCCCACTTCATACAGGCAAGTCCTTTCTGCTATTCCTAGTGATATTTACCCTCACTCTGCCGAATTCATGTTGAACATGGCATGACTGCATTGTCTGGTTTTGCTTATAATCTTTGTGTTATAAAAAATAAAACAGTGGCTTTTGTTTCCCTGATACGCTCCCGAGTTTTAGTCCTCCCAAGAATCATGTTTCAACTCTAGAGCAAGAGACAATGATTAGATGATGTCATTACATAAGGATTTATTGCTGGGTCATATAGCATACTGTGACTATACTTCCTTCCCTCCTTCCCTCCCTCCCTCCCTTCCTTTCTTCCTTCCTTCCCTCCCCACTGGAGATTGAATCCAGGTCCTATTACATACAAATGCTCTACCAACTTAGCTTTACCCCAAGACATAGCTTCCCTTTTTATCAAACTTATTTTCCTTGAACTGACCACCTTTAAATCATTAAATTATGTTGCTGCCTTTCTATGTATCTCTTTCTAATTGGCTCTTCCTTTGCAGGCAACACTTCTGTGTCCTGTCATTTATCCTCCTCTATGGACTAGTTGCTCTCTAGATCTACTGGATATCTATTGACTTTGGGTTTCCTTTTACTATCATCCTGGGGAGCCCTTCTACTTCATTTTTTTTTGTGTTGAATCTTCTAGTTTTTGTAGGTTTTATGTTTAATTTTCTCACTTTGGAGGCATACAGCCTCCAGTAGTCTTATGAGAAAGATTGCTTAGTAAGTAAAGATCTCAAGACCTCTTCTGTTTAAATGGCTTCACTTGATGGTAGTTTAGCTGGGTGTGGAAGAAGTATTGAAGACATTTTCCCTTAGAATCTGAAGGTATTGTTCCAGTATCTTCTACCTTCTGATGGTGCTGTTAGGAAACAAACTATATCTTTGTTTCTGATCTTTGTGTTTGATTTTTTCCTCTGAGAAATTTTAGGATCAGAAGATCCTTTTGTGTCTTTTGTATCATGAAATTGCTTTGGCATGAGTATTTTTCCACTTATTACCCAAGGTGCTTTGTGAATTCCATTAACACAGGCTCACTTTCTGTGGTTCTAGAGAATTTTTTTTCAGTGCTGGGGACAGAACCCAGGGCTTTATGCCTCTTAGGCAAGCTCTCTGCCACTAAACTACATACTCAGCCTTTGAGATTTTTCTTGAATTATTTTGCTGATATCCCTTCACTCTCCAGTTTCTCTTTGTGAACAGCTATCATTTGGGATTTTGTCCACCTGATTGAAGCCCACTCTTCCTTTTCTATTTTTTACCTCGTTTTATTGGTGTTTAGGGGGATTGTCTTATATTTCCTCCCAATACTTCCAGTGAATTTTTGTACTACATTTTTACACAGGGCTATCCTTATTTCTTGAAAATATCTTTTGAGTTTCCTAGTCTTAATTATAGAATAAGAAATTTATGAAATTCACATCTTAAAGCTTACTGGCTATGGTGGTTTGAAGGAGAATGTCCCCTAGAGGCTCCAAGTATTTGGACGTTTTGTCCCCAGTTGGTAGTGCTGTTTGGGGAGGTTTTAGGAGGTGGGGCTTTGCTGGAGGAAGCTCATCACTTGGGGGCCAGCTTTGAGAGTTCTGAAGCCTTGCCAGATTTCCAGTCTGTCTGCTTCCTGTGCCTGGGTGGAGATGTGATCACTTAGCTTTCTGCTCTGGCCACCTCCTTTCGCCTTGGCTCCCCCATCATTATAATCTCTAACCTTCTGGAACTGTAAGCTCAAATAAACTCTTCCTTCTATAAGTTGCCTTGGTCCTCTTATTTTATTACAACAACAGAAAAGTAACTAATAAACATGCCAAGGTGGATGGAGGGAATATCACCAGGTCCTGCCTCAAGATGGAGAGCTACAGGCAATAAATGGATGTTGAGAGAGGGAGAATCAGTTAGGGCAGCCCTAAACACAGGTGCACACAAGCACCGCTAAATGGATTTAGTGCATTATATATCTATGTATGTACATTTATAAACATATGTATGTATATCTAGCAATAATACTCAAGGAAGAGGACAAGAAATTGAGTGGGAGTGGGAGAACATGGGAGGAGTTGGTGGGGGACTGGGAGGAATGGAAAAAAGGCAAAGACAATGTTCATGTATGAAATTCTCAAAAATAAAAAAATTAAAATAAGAAAAAGAGAAAGACCCAGCCCAGTGGTACAAGCCTGGAATCTCAGCTACCTGAGAGACTAAGGCGGGAAGATTGGAAATTCAAGGCCATCAGGGGCTACAGAGTGAGTTCAAGGCTAATCTGGGCAACCCAATAAGCCCTTGTCTCAAAATGAAAAGAGAGGGGCTAGTGATAGAGCTCAGTGCTAGAGCACTGGGCAGCATGTGCAAAACTCTAGATGCAGTCTCAGTGTTACCAAAATAAACGAAGCAAAACATTAAAAGCAAGTAAGCATAAGAAAAAAGAAGCTGGGGGGGGTGGCCTTGCTAAGTCACTGGGCAGTTGGTGGCAGAGCTGTCATCCAGGGCACTGGGGAGGTACCATCACTCACCATGACTGTGTACTCGGTCTGGGCTTGGATGGCAGCCTGCAGTAGTTGCAGCTTCTCAAATTCCTGTGAACAGAACAGAGGGTCAGCTGTGAGCCAGAGAATTGGGTGCCATGGAATCAGGTGGATGAGCATCCCACAGCAGCCTCACTGGCCTCCTTGTGGCTCCTTAGGACAGAGTGGGACTTACCAGCAGGGCAACCTCATGGTCAGTCATGGCTTGCACAAAAGCCAAAGCCTCTGGAGTAGCTGATCTGATGTTGTCCACCCGACCCTCCTGAAACCGGCGAATGGATGCGCTCTCATAGGTGGGCACCAGTCTCTTATAAAGCCTGCATAAGATAAAGAATGAATGGTAAACAGGAATTTATTCTCAGGGAATCATGATTGCTGAAAGAAAAATAGCCTCGGCAGGCTTTATTTTCAGTCCTGACTTGACGTGGCATAGTATTTCATTTTAATGTTAATAGAATTCTAGAGGAGAATTCCCAAAGATGAATGCTGGAGGTCTTTAATATGAAGAGCCATGTACACTTTTATACACTGGGGACACTGTGCTGATATAAAATGAAAAGGTGACTGATTGCTTTAAAAAAACAACAATCTGTTGGGAAACCTTTCGGCTTTCTGTGAGAGCTGATGAGTGTTGATTAATAGCACTGAGTCAGATGGTTGTGCAGTTCCTCATGCACCCTGCCTTGTTTAAACTGTTTCAGCCATGATCTCTGATCGAGGTAGGGAAGAATCTCATCAGTGGTGAGTGTGTTCAGATGCCCAAGCCCACCTTTGCAGGGCATCCAGACCTGGAGCATTCAGGTGTATCCCACAGGACAAGGTGTGCCTGGCATCCCTATGGATTGTTTTAGCATCCTGGCAATTCTAGCAGGGTGCACACTGGTGACTGGGCAGTCTTTCTTGCTATATGTGGAAACCAGGTGAGCACACCTAGGCTTGCATCTCTGCCCAACAGCATCTCTACTTCCCACCTGTCAGTTACCCCCATGGAACTGAGGATCAGGGAGGAAAAAAAAAATACATAGTTCAGACAGAGGCAGGGACAACCCAGAGACACACAGTAAGTTGTGGCCCTGCATCTTGCCATACCTCCATACTAGGTAGGCTCCTGAAGGGATAATGAAATATGATAACAAACTGAGTGACAGGGGAGCCCAAGTTGGTTGCTTCAGGGAAGGGAGTATCTCCAGACAGACCTCTGCAAGGTGATAACCTGAGTTGGAGGACAGGTGAGAAGGGAGAGGCATAGCCAAAGCAAAGATTTAGATGCCAGAGTTTGCAGGCCCTCAAGCTTGAGGGCAGTCCCCAGGAGTGCTAAGCAATAAGTGGCAAGAGTCTGGCTTGCATACTTCATGAAGCTGGGATTAAAGGGGGAACAGGTGGGAGCAGAGCGCTCTGGGCCTGTGTTGCGGTTGGCCAAGCAAAGGAAGACAGAGCACAGGTTTGAGAGACATTTAGAAAACTGATGTGGGGTATGGGGGTGGAATAAGGGGGTTAATCAAGAATGAGCACTGAATCTTTGACCAGACCATCTCAGGGGAGGCTTTGCTTCCATGTCCCCATCAAGAATAGGAAGACCAGGGAGGAGTGGGTCACACCACAGGGTTCAGGTGGATGGATGAAATCAGGTGGAGGGCAGACTTGGCAACCTCTAGGTTTTTCTCACTGTTCTGGTTTGTTTCTCTTCATTGCTGTGACAAAATACTCTGACCAATACCAACTTGGGGAGGAAAGGGTTTATTCAGCTTACATCTCCCAGGTCGCACGTAGTTCATCAGGGAGCCCAAGGTAGGAACTCAGGGCAGGAACCTGGAGGCAGGAGCTAGAGCACAGGCCATGGAGGAACGCTGCTTACAGGCTTGCTCCCTTGGCCCCTGCTCAGCTTGCTTTCTTATGCAACACAGGCCCACCTGCCCAGGGGTGGCACCACCCACAGTGGGCTGGGCCCTCCCACATCACTCATCAAGAAGATGCCCTTCAGACATGGCCACAGGCCAGTCCAATAGAGGCAATTCCCCGACTGAGGCTCCCTCAACCCAGGTGTGTCAAGTTGACACTAAAGCTATCCAGCACACTCACCCACCTGAGTCTCCTCAGTTCTGCAGTGCAGCCCCATTCAAGCCCCAAACCCTTGGGACCACGGCTCAGGTAGTTCCTGAGTTGTAACATCTGCTTTCACCTTAAGTTTGGTTCTCATTCGAAACCTAGTTCAGGTATCACCAGGTCCATGCATCTGGCTTTGTCATTCTTCAGCTCTCTGGATACCCAGAAAGCCGCACCTCTCTCCAGGATGCTTCTAGACTCTAAAGCATCCCATCAGGCAACCCATCAGGGTGCAGGCTTATCTTGCCCTTGCTCACCTGTAGAAGGCCAGTTGGAGGGCCACCTGGATGAAGGCATCTGGGCTGAATTTCTGCTTCTTAATCAGTGTTTTCCCGTAATTATCAAACTTATAAACAATGAAATCCAGATTTTTTACTATTCTGTGAAAGAAAAAGAAAATACTTTGATGGCATGCAAAACAGGAATGTGTACACCACAGAGCCCACCTGAATGTCCTAACCCTGATCCGCGTTCTAGTACTCCAGAAAGTGAGACACTGTCCTTGTCTTCTAGGAACATCCTAGGAATCAGAGACATACCCTCACCTACGCAAGTGGCAGAAAGCTTAGGGAAACAGGGCTTCTAGAAATACACTAGGGAATCAGAGACATACCTTCACCTACGCAAGTGGCAGAAGGCTTCTCAGCCAGGAGGGAACCCTCGTGGGTGAGCCTGACTGCAGCAGTGAAGTGGGAGGAGCATGGAAATTAGACATTTGCATGGGCAGGGCGAGCCCCCCATACAGACAAACTTCTGCCTGCTGGCTGCCCACAAAGCAGGCCTGTGAGAAGCTGTTCATATGACCTGCATAGGAACAGAGTTCAGTGTTCCTGTGCACCCAGCTGGCCTAATAGAGCTCATTTCTCAGCTGTCTGTCATACAGACTCATTCCCTTAGGGGTGCTGTGGGGAAGAAGGACTTGGGGCCTGACTGTCGTGGTCTCTCCAGCAAGGGCTGAGGCTTACTCCTCTGGCTTTACAGGTGATGGAAATTCTATTTTAGCCAGCAACAGCTGCTAGATCTACCAGGACATGCCTGGGGCTTTGTCATTATCAGAGTATCAGGAAACTTCCCTGTGTCTACACAGAAACTCCTGTGTACCCCCATATTGGCCAGTGTCCTTCATAATGAGTCTGGGGTCTGAGCTGACTGTGCATGGGAACAATGCCAGCAAGATGCATATCACTAGTCCAGTCACGTGTGAGCATAGGCCCGAGGGTTGCAACCTGCCCCCATTTACGTTGTCCCTGGGACTTGATGCTCTACCTGCCCCTCCTTGTATCACTCCTCCTGCCTCACAGGCACCTAGCTCTCTGGAGTGCTCAGGACCCAGGGGGACTCCTACCTTTTGACAGCTCCCTTGGGAAAATTGTTCTGTCACCATGGTCACCTGGAAACCCCCTCCCAGGCTCTGCTCACCCAGACCCACCACCTCCCAAGGACTGTTCAGGATCAGGTGACTCCTCATATCTCCATTAAGTCTTTTCTTTTCCTCTAGTCAGAGAAACTGGGTAACTTAGCACATGGGGGCCTCCTCAGATCCCTGAGAGTGAGTCTTTGCTGACCCTCCCTCCCTCTGGTTCTATCCTTGGGCAACCCACTTACCCTGAACACCCCACCTAAAATTTGAGACGTCAGCATCACTCCATAGAACACCCAAGACCTCTCCACACTCTACTAAAGTCAGGCAGCCTCCACAGCAGCTTCTTCTGTACAATTGTCTTCCTCCTGGGCCTCCCTGCCCAGTCATATGTATCCTGCCCACCAGTGCTGCTCCCACAGACTCCTCACTGGCTTTCCCACAACCCCTGCACAGGGGCTTCTCACTACAGGCAGGCTAGGCTCTTTACAGCATGGTCCCAACTTCCCTTTTGCCTCCCAGTTCTAGGCATCTTCTATTTTGGTCTCCAGAGCAGCCTGGACATTTACAAACCTATGGAGGTTTAAACAGGCCACTTTCCTGCCTCTTTCTCTTATATTTGCCCTGAAAACTTCGACTCACCCTTTAAAGTCCTCCCTCATCGTCCAGGCAGAGTTCATTCCCTTGTTTCTCTCCAGGTTTGGGTCTACTTGCCTATCTCTGGTTTGGAAGCTACATACCTAACACGTGTTTTGATCTGGGCTCTGTTTCTTCCATGAAAGTGTGGAGGACAAGACCAGTGGCACATTCACGTCCAAGTTCCCAGTGCCTTATTACAGATCTAGCACACACCAGAGCTCCACACGCTTGATGAGTGAAGTGTGTTCATGCTCACTTATTGCAGGGATGACAATGGCAGTTTAGATCTCACTACCAGCTGCGATTAGCACCATGCATTGCTGCCCCTGCCCCTAGATACCCAAGGGGGATCTCAGCTCCTTTGCCTGGGTCCGTTATGACCTGAACCAGCCCCCTCCCTGGGAAAAAGGCCCCCTTGTCAAGTTGCAGTGTAAACTCAAGCAAATTGAACTAGCTTGGATTCAAATGACCTATTCAAAGCAGTTGTTTATTACTCCCTCAAAACAGGGAATGATTTCCCAGCCTTGACTCTGCTCAGTCAGGTGAAACCTACAGCAAAAATAACTCCAGGTTTGCATTTTATGGAAATGATAGATATTTGAGCACGTTATTTCCTGAGAGTGGTAACTCCTCCTTAGTTTGACTACATTTCCATGAGGGGTGGGGGTGGGCGGAGCCTGGAAGGGAGCATTGTCTCAAGGGCCTCTGGAAACTTCAGGGTGCTTTGGCAGCTGGAGGGGGGAAGGGCAGTAGGGGAAGGTTTAGGCCCTTGAAGGAAACTTTGGGTTCTCCTCACCGTTGAAGTTTTTCTGCTGATGAAGCTAAGTGGCCTTGGATTTCCGGGGAACATTTCCACCTCAGCCTCCTGGGTGTAGGGAGTTCGCTGACCGAGTCAGCTCGGACTAGTTTCTTGTTGGTCTTCATCCTGCAGATGCAAAGGGACAACCTCCTGAGGCCCTGAAAGTAGAGGGCTATGGGGTAGCATTGCTTTCCCTAGGTGCAATGCCCCCCTCCACTTCCCAAGCACTGAGCAGATGAATAAGCTGAGACCTAGAGAGGTCACCCACATCAGAACCAGGATCCTGTCCACTTCCCCCAGACTCCAAAGTGCATCATTTGTTTTCATTTGTCATGAAGTTATAACTATGTTCCAGCAGTACTTATATAAGACTTAGAGAACTGCAGCAAGCTGGGGTATTCTATTTCCAAAGGCTGGTTGGGTCTCAGTCATTCCAAAGACTTTTATGGAAGAGACAGAGAATCTACATGCAAGGAGAGGATCCTAGAAGAAAGAGCAAAACCGTGAAAGTTGGAAAGAGTGAAGCACGCTTAAGGACAGAAAAGCTAGGCTTGTTTGGCCAACCTGAAGGTTGGGGAGGACCCAGCCTGGGAAGAAGGAGACCTCTCTCTGTGTTGAGCCACCAGGGCCTGACTCAGGACCAACAGCAAAGACTGATCTGAGTTCCCTTGCCATCAAGACTTTGACCCCTGCCTCTCCTTGACTACCCTGTCATGCCCACTCTGTACCTTCCATCTGTGGTCCATAAAGCTCATTTTTCTGTCTTTGAGCCTCTTTCCAAATTCATCTTTGGCTCAGTCATTTTTCAAGCTGACACCCCTCCTTAGTGGCACCCCAGTTTCTGCTGGCCTGGGATGGCAGCCCTCTGAGGTCTTCCTCCGCGCTGCCCCAGACTCACATGTGCTTCAGCAGGTGCTCTGTGCACTGCACCAGGACGATGCCATCAAATGGAGAGTGCTCGCACACCACGCCACAGGTGCCATCTCGGCCCACCACAAACTGCAACGGGGAAGAGGCAGGTGAGCTGACCTTAGAGTCAGCGTTTCAAACTAGACCCTGGGTGTGGGTCGGGGCCCCTGACCTCATGGAGCATCTCTCCCTTTAGACTTGTTGATTCATGAAAAGAATGTTGCTGGGACCTGGGAATGTGAAAGTTTCAAAGCTGTTCTAACCTCCTTCCTACAAGGCTCCAGGCAGTGAAGGGGCAGCCCAAGTTCCCCAATGAAGCAGTGCAGGGGGTCCTAGTGAGCTCACACTGTCTGGGTGCATTGCCTGTGGGCCTGGGAGGGCTCTCAGTTCTGTTTGCCCTCCACTGCACCCACAGCAGACACCATCCTGTAGTGCTTTCTGTGACCATTTGCCTGATGGACTGGGCTCTGCTTTTCTTGTCCACTGTTGATTTTATTCCAAGGATCTAGACCAACGTCCATCCCAGAGTAGATGCTGGGTAATTACATTGAGCAAGTGAATGAAAAATAACAACCCAATTTGGGTGGCAAGCAGATTCCTAGGGAGAAATAATAACAGGTTCCTTGATGAGGAAAGTGTATGGAGGATGTTCAACAGAACAGTTGTCAGATCCCAGCCTGATGTTGTGTCTGGTGACTAGGAAAACTTCACCCAGATCCTGAGAATCCCTGGACTGGAGGTTGCTCTCGTTTAAACCAGCCCAACAAAGCAGCTCATAGGATTGAAATATAGAAAGAAAGTCTTTGAAGGATTCACAGACACCATAAAGATTCCTGATGAATTTTTATACGGCTTTAAAAAGACTATATTGAGTTGACTTGGGAAAGGAATATGCTCAGGGCACAAAAGGACTGAGAAAAAATGAGAAGGGCCAGGCTGGGCTCTTAGAGTGTAGCCCACTAGAGTGGGGCTTCTGTGGAGCGCCTCACACTCTGTCTGCCCGTGGTAAACAAACAAATAAGCAAACAAACGAACGAACTCTTGAAGCATTTACTGAAATCACTTCCAGGAGACCACAGCACACACATTTTGAGCTACCTCTTCCCGTATCTTCCTGGAATCCTGCTTTATCTGTGCCAAATGCTGAAATCTTAATGCTATTCAACAAACCAACCAACAAACAAAACACACCTCCCACAGAACTTCTCTAGAATTCCCACATTCTTTACCAGCTCTTCTCTTTCCTTCCCCCAGCAATCTTTTCCTTTCCATCTCCTCAAATCTAGGCCCATGGAACCTTCTCTGTATCTCTGGCTCACCTGTCCTACTTACAAAATGGGGATGGGGTGGGGGACCTGTGCCCACTCTCAATTAGCACCTCTCTGTCCCTGTCACTCAATGAAGGGAGGAAAACAGGTCTTTAAAAAACTGCTCCTAGCGCTTACTCTGTTCTATGTACGGTACATCCATTATATCATTTCATTCCCGCAGCTCCTCAGTGAAAGATTACAAGCCATTAGCACTGCTGTGGAGGCTACACAGCCAGCACGGCAGCAGGAGAACTCATCAGAAAGAATAGAATCAATATGCAAACCCATAAAAAGAATAACCTGCTGAACGCAGGGACAGAGACAGGAGAAAATGAGATGCTGCTGGGAAATGCTCATGGAGGTGGCTGTCCCAACCCAGCTAGAGAGATGGTCTGCCTCCTCCTTTTTATGGTCATTGTGAGAGCTGGGGTGGCATGGTAAATAAACAAGACCAGACTAGGGAATGCATGTTGGGGTAAGAAAAGATAGAAGTTGGGAATGAGTGGCCCTTCTCAACTTCACCCCATCCGCATGGATATTTTTTTCTAAATCAACATAAGATATTATTATGAAGAGGCTGATGTATGAATTTTTTGATTCCATCTTAGGATTCATCTTAGGTTATGCTGGGCTGCCCTAGCTCTCAGGGTGTGTTGAAATAGGCCAGGTGGGAGACATTCAGAAAAGTTGGCATCTTAGGTCAAATGTGAGTCCTACTGATTGTTGAGGACTTCCTGGGTGGGCAGGCAGTACCTTCCTGCCCTGGAGTGTGTAATGGAGAGGGGTGATGAGCCCAGGTGTCACCCTGATCTTTCTGCATACCTGCAGGACAGTTAGGGAGTTTCAATTGGGTCCCACCACTTGTCTGTTGAGAAAACTCTGTCTAGTCCAGAAGTGACACCAACAGCACAGAACAGCAAGAGCACATGATGGTGATTAGCTCCAGAAAAGGCTATGCAGTTGCAGGGTCACGAAGGGGCCACTTACCTGCAGGGACTTGTCATACCAGCGATTTGCCCCGTTCTTGCTGCAGCCTCCACCATGAAGGAGCTGGAGTGCCCTGTGGCTGTCACTGAGTTCTCCAGCACCTGGGGCATCCAGGCACACCAGGCAGATGCAGCGCTCGATCATATCCAGTGAGTCCCGGTTGGTGGAGTCTGCAGGACAGGCAAGCATAGCCTTAGGTCTGCGGTGCCTGCAGAGTCCCGTGAGGTGCCTGCCTTGACAGGATGCCCTGTCAGCTGCCCTGTTCTGAGCCTCTATGTTATCCCAGTGGACTCCGTGAGACTGCTGCCCTCCAGATGTGTGCAGGGCTGTGCCCATTGGTCATGCCTGACCAGGTGAAGTGGGATGCTTGAATCCTCAGCCCAGCCCAAGTCAAAGGACAGGTTCTCACTCTCCTGTCTAACTGAGCCCTCACTTTGGCACAGATATACCATATCTGTGAATATTGGCCAACAACCACAATTTTTCAAGTACTTAAATTGGTTGCTGAAAATGTAGAATTAGGCGATTTCACATGAAAAATCTGAAAGAAGGGTGTTGCTTGCCCTCCATTTCCCCTAGAGAGTTCAGAGCCTGAGTTGCAGTGGGGAGGGCAAGGCTACAGCTGACACATAGCTGGATGAGCTGGCTGGGACTGGTTCAGGCACATGGAGCTCACTTATCAGGATAAGGAGACTAAAGGCCGTTAGATGTGCTGGACATGCCATACCTGGGAGCTCAAACCTGGCCTATTAGAACTTCTTTCTCACATAAAGCTTTTAATAGTCCCCAACCTTCTGGATACACTCCTAAAAAGGGGGCCAGCATACAATCCCCTGGGATACCCCTCCCAGTGGTACTGGAGGGGTACAGACAGGACAGGTCTTCAGGAGAGACAGTTAGGTCTAGGACCCTCAACTCCACAGGGACATATAGTGTGCAGTTCCTTCTGGAGAGTGGAGCTGGGCCAGACAGGTACTTCTTCCCACCAAGTCCAGGAATTTCACAAACCCACTTAGCAGGATCCAATCATGGGCACCTTCAGCCATCATGACTATATTTCCCCTTCCTCTGAACAGGTGTCTTTTTTTGAGGGGATGGTGATCTTTCTCCATCATTCCATTCTGGTTATAGATATAGATAACCCATCCTTTGTTTTAAAGTTCATCGAAATTTCAAAAGACCATCATAAGGCAAAACTTAATGGTTTTGGTATAAAATTCCAAGTAGTTACTTCAAGACCCAGAGGAGAAGGCTGATCATGGCCTGAAGACTTTAAGTTTGGGGTTGGATGCAGTGACAGGATGGTGTCAAGCGCCCCCAGCCCCAAGCAGAGGTGAGAGTGCTCCATGCATGGAAGATGGGGTGCATGTATTAGGCAGCACTATGCACCAGGTGGCAGAGGTTGCTGACTGCATGCCACAGCTTCCCTGATCTCTTTACTCATAGGACTCTGCATGTAGCTTGGCAGTTAAAGCTCCAATTACAGCTAGAGGCAAACAGGGGTCTAAATTCTTCCAATAAGATCTAGAAGCAGGAAAGCCAAGAGCCTGTTGCTTGACAACATCCAAGAAACCTTAAAGAGAAGTAACATGTGGTCTCTGCCCCTCTTCCCACCTTCCTCCACGCTGCAGCTTGGAACCCAGGTGTGACTAGATCTTGCCCTTCCATCTTCCATTTTTGGGGAATGTGGAGAATCTAGTGGATTAATACCCAATCCCTTCCCATGGGTCTACTCAGTACCCCTGAGGTGGCCACCTGGGCTGGTCCCTGCTCTGCTCAAGGGATCTCTCCAGTTTCAGGGAAGCTATTCACAAATGTCCTTGTATGGAAAGGGGTCTCCAGTCCCCACCCATCTCTTTTCTCCTATTATTTTTGCAAATTCTGGAAGAAGTGGGTATATCTCCCAGGCACTCCACTCTGGGAAGGCAGCCGGCCCTTGGGCCTTCCATCCATTCATTCTCCTTTCTGCTTAGGAGGAACTCTAGTGAGGCTTGTGCTTCTGGGACTTCTGGCCCCGGTGGGGTCAAGAAGACTGTGTCTTCTGCATGATCTTGGCTTTCCTGCCTCAGTCTGATCAGCAGTCAGGGTTTTGTCATCCCCAAGGATCTAAAAGTAAATGGGAGCCCATGAGGGAGAATCCAAACTTTCAAACCAGCACCTTGGGCTCTGTGGCTCACCTGCCTTGTTCCACTGGATCCAACAGAGACCTCACAGCCCACTTCTTGCCACTGTCTGAGTGCCAGTACACAATCTCCTCACCATCCTGAACGCTATTCCTGGGCTACAGTCTACTTGTATTCCACCAACCAGAGCTCTGCTGGTAAAGCCTTCCCAGAACCAGCCCTTTGGCAGTGCTCCTGTCCTCAGGGACTCCTGATACCCAGAACTACAGCTTGCTCTATGATGACACGGAAGCTCCACCCTTCTGAGCCCAGGGCTGTGCCACCCTTCCCTGTGCCTCCTGCTTCCTGTTCACAGTGTATAACCCTGCTGTCATTCCCAGCCCTCAAGCTTCTGGCAGTCACTACTGTCCAGTACATGTAGCAACCCCACCCCGTATGGTCACCTCCCCATGTTTGTGGACTCATTGAGGATAAGGCCTCTACTTAAGGTGGGCAAAGAAAAGAATCCATAACAGGTAAAACACTTCAGGGCACCTTCTTGAGTCTGGCCCAAGTGGGGGCTGGGATCTGTGTACCCAGATCAGCGATAGGCTGGAGTAGTTCGTCAGGCTCACAGGAATGACCCATAGCCCCAGTGAAGACAGGAATCTACTAGCATAAGCCTCATGGAGGGTGGGGAGTAAGGGTGGGCTGGGGACAGGGTAAGGATTCCTCTCCACTGTGTTCTCTCCACCTTGCCCCTCTTCTCTCTGGCGTACATCCTTGAAGATGGTCATGGTGCTCAGCCTTGCACCATGTGCTGTGCTGGGGGTCCCTTTGGGTTCCCAGGCTAGCCAGTGTCTTCAGAGCATGGAAAGGGTGTGCTTGGCTAAATCTGGGTCAGATTCAGTTGGTCAGGGAGGAAGAGAGAGGCATATAGGAAGGGTTAATAGCCAGAACAGGTAGGAAGGCTGGAAGCAGACCCCAGGTTTATAGGTGGAGCTGGTGGATGAACCAATTGATCTCTAGCTGAAGGGTAAAGGCCACAGGCTTTAGATGAGCCTGGCAGACCACAATGATGTGAAGTTATTAGCCAGCCTTGATGGAGCACCTACCATGTGCTAGGTATCCATCTAAGCACGCATTCTGTGGAATAGAAGACTGGCAACATTATCATGCCTCCTTTGTAAGTGAGGGGCAGAGACACTAAATACCTTGACTGTAGGCCACTTCCAAGGCCTCACTTAAACATGAGGTAGTAGCTGGAAGAGATCTGGGTTTGGTCCCAGGCATGTAACACCAAAGCCCAGGTTAACAGTAAACATCAAGATGCTCAGGCTCAGGAATGAGGGTTTCCCACAACAGCAGAGTCACTGAAGGATCCGGGGCCAAGGTTGATTTGTTCACAGTAGAGTCTAGGATGCCTGGCAGCACGGGAGGAGCAGAAGCCTGTAGGCTAGTGAAGGGCCATGGGCAGACTGAACTCTGTATGTATATCATTGTCCTGTTGGCCATGCCTTGTTCAGCACTGAAAACCTGCCTTGGTATCCCCCTCCACCATAGTTTCTTAGAAACAAGCTCAGATCAGAATGTGATGGGAAGGCTGCTACATTCTAGAAAGCCCACAGCAGGCCTATCCAGTGAGGAAACTCCAGCAAGCCCAGCACAACCTCTGGGTAGGAGAGGGAAGGCTTGGCACATTCCTCCCAGCTGGGATCGAAGCAGAGAGGGTCTGTTCCCCTCAGCATCAGTAGCAAGGGTCTCTGAGGAGGGGCTGAGGTCTCGCTATTAAATGCTGGCTACACAAGGCCTGGCAGCTCAGCACCACCCACCAGGAGCAAGGTCCTGGCTCATTAAGCAGGACGAAATGGGCGCAGGACAGCAGAGCTGGGAAGCCAGGTGGCCTTGCAAATGAACTCCCTGCATGCAAGTGCTGATCGGTCAAATGCTGACAAGTTTATCGTGTAAGACAGAAAACGAACTACATCCAAACTCATCTACCATGACTGCGGCCCAAATGTAATGGAAATGTGGAGTGGTGGGCTGGAGGCTCATGGCAGGAGCCGTTTGTCTTGTGGCCTCCTCATGAAGCACATTGGGGCTCATTTAATGTAGTGAATCAATCTTCCTCAAGGAGCCCCTGCTTAACAGCGAGAACTGGGAGTTGAGTAATAAGAGGAGCTTGTTCTGACACCCATACCTGGGGCTCAGAGATTCAGTGGTATGGAACTTCTAGGGGCCTGGAGGTAGAAGTTTACAGACTGATTCAGGTGAGCAAAGGTACAGTGTACACCTAGTGCCTCTGCCTTTGGAGGGCTGAGTATCTCAGGCATTGCTCTCTAACATGCACATCTGGGCACAAGCGCAGCCTTCTCTTGGATACCTGACTTCTCCGATTTGTTACCAGAGAATGGGCATGAATCAGATTTCTGCTGTGGCACCCCCAGCCGCCATCCATGGAGATGAGATCCTGAACTCCTAATCCTTGCCATGCCTATCTAAGCATCATTCCTTCCTAGGTCAAAGGATTATAATCTTTTGGGAGATAAATTTGCCATCAAACACTTGATATTCTTCCCTAATCTATGGCCTAAGGGAGGTGATCTTTTTTTCTCCCAATTCCAAGAAGCTGAGCTGTCAACAAAATTATGTCTTGCTCAATGAAACCTAGCTCTGAATTACTGAATTAGAACTGCTTTGACTTCAATTTCAGTTGGGATGGTCTTAGCTTCCAGGAAGATGGACTAGACTTTTCCCCACTAAAATCCCTGGATAAGTATTACATTTAAAACAAACATTAAGAAGACCCTAGAAGATGAAAACAGGAAAACAAACAAAACAAGGGCCTTAGAGCCTAAAAAGCAGCTCAGTGCCAGGCCCTTTGGATGTATTGGGCTGAATTTTGTGCCATGCAAATCATACATTAAAGATCTAACATCTGTTATGACTGCATTTTGAAAAAGAACCATTAAAGTGGTAGCTGAGGTTAAATGAGGTCATAAAGAAGGGTTTTGGTTCAGTATGACTGGTGCATGTAAGGAGAGGAACCAATGATGTACACGCTGAGA